CTGCCAGCTGGATTTTGAGAACTGAACCCTGGTCCTCTAGAAGAGCAATGAATGACAGAGTCAGCTCTCCAGGCCCTGCATGATAGTTTAAACTCAGCTTCACCAGTTTCCAGCAATAGATGAGGATAAAGTACACTTCATGCATAGGGGTTTAGATCTTGATGATTTTTTCAAAAGCAAAAAAAAAAAAAAATCTCAAACACATTTTTACTTCTGATGTTTTATACATAGGTATCTTACATACAAACTTAATATATCTTGTGTGTCATGTTTGTATAGTTGCATATGTCTGCATGCATATATGGAGGCCAGCAGTCAACCTCAGAAGCTTGTTAGGCAGTGTCAGGGTCTGTCCTTAGCCTGGGACTCACCAGCTAGGCTCATCTAGGATGACAGCCTCTCTGGTGCTAGAATTATATCTGTCTATTTCCAGTTTCTTTTATGTGGGTTCTGGGGATCATTTCACTGCAGAATTATCCCCCGGCCCCACATTTGTATTCTTTATTTCACTGCCAAACTTTATCAATTACCCACCTTGCTAATTGTAATAGACTTACTTCCGTCCTACATGAGTTGATTTTCTCTTTAGCAGGTTGGAGAGGAAAGGAAATGTATTGTTGTCCTTTCAAGGGTAGAAGGAAAAACAACTAAAATGCTGCTATGTGATTACTGAGCGTAGACTCTGCAATTATTTTCTTAATGTTTTAAATGAAGTAGGCCTCTATTTCTGAGCAATGTTAAGATTGGGCCCCGAAAAGTCTAAGTTTATATTCAGAAAGTCCACCTTCATGTCTTACAGGCAAGAGCACCAAGAGAACTTCAGTCAGTATAAATTTAAACATTTGCTTATGGATCAGACGAACAAGCCGTGGCATAGACCCTTTTGTTTTCTTCAGAAAAATACAGTTTCATAATAACTAAGAAAGCCAAGGTGGAATTTTTTGGCTTCTTGGTGACCTGCCTCATCATACAGAGCTTTCTTGTCTTCAGTTCTTGCCTTCAGCACTGTCCTGAACTCGCAGGAGCTGCCTGGGTAAGAAAGACACGAGTGAATGAGTATTGCTAAGGCACTAACTACCTCTTTGTCTCATGGCTACGCTTGCTACTGCAGCTCTTCCTGTTGGAGGCTGGACCTACGAAAACTCCCACTTTTGCTTTTGGAGGAGACCTAACACCATTTGGGCAGGGAGATATGGGCTTCTCATGTCTTGAGCCACCTAGGATAGAGTGGCATGGTGTATTCTTAAGTAAGCTCCTTGTCTCTGTGGGATGTTGGTGAGAAGTGAGGCTGGAATGGGGCGTTAAAATGTGTGTGGACCACATTTTCCCTGATCTAGAAGGGGTGCTGTTTCTGTTTTGCATGGCTGTGGTAGTTCTGGTCCACACTGTTAGGAGGTAAAGTCCAAGGGGAAAAAATAGGTAGGAATTTTTCTCACCAAATACTAATGCTGTTTAAGAACACTTGCCTTGAATTTATTCCCAAGAGTTTGCATCCATGGTCTCTTAGCTTCTGCAGTACCTCTATCCAGGACCTTCTGGCTTTCATGGTTTCCATAGAGAAGTCAGGTGTAAGTTTGATCGGTTTACCTTTATAAGTCCTTGGCCTTTTTCCTTTGTAGCTCTTAATGTTCTTTCTTTAACCTGTATATTTAGCACCCACACACTGAGACAATGGGGATGTTCTATCGGGAACTCACCAAGGCCAGCTGGCCTGGGTCTGAAAAAGCCTGGGATAAAACCGGACTCGCTGAACATAGTGGACAATGAGGACTACTGAGAACTCAAGAACAATGGCAATGGGTTTTTGATCCTACTGCACGTATTGGCTTTGTGGGAGCCTAGGCAGTTTGGATGCTCACCTTACTAGACCTGGATGGAGGTGGGTGGTCCTTGGACTTCCCACAGGTCAGGGAACCCTGATTGCTCTTTGGGCTGATGAGGGAGGGGGACTTGATTAGGGGAGGGGGAGGGGATGGGAGGCGGTGGCGGGGAAGAGTCAGAAATCTTTAATAAATATATAAAAATTAAAAAAAAAAGAACACTTGCCTTGTATGAAGCTTCTGGAAGGCTGGCCAGCAGGTTCTGTAACCCATCACTGTTCCCCATGCCATGACTTATTCTTAGCCTGGGCCTCACTCACTTATTGCTTACCAAACTGTAAAATTGAAATTACTTGTTCACCACCCCGTCCCACAGATTTAGTTGCCTTGGTGGTTGTAGGGTGTTAGTTTGGACTTTAGACTGATATTTACTGTTTAATCTCCTTTCTTTTGGGGATTATAGACATTGCTGACTAGTTCTGTAGACTCATGATTTTCTCGAAACTTAGGGCTGAAGGGAAGATTTTCTTCCTGCATTCTGCTGAGTTTCAAGCTACGTGTGTCATCGCTGAAAAGAGTTTGCATATTGAGAAAGGCTTCATAAGAGGACAGGCTAGGGGAAGATGATTGCAGGCTCTTTACTGTGTCACATTCCTTGATAAATATTACCTAGAAGTTTTAAAAATACAATTTAATTTTCCACTTAAACCATAATTATTTATTTCATTTCTAAAGAGGAATAAATTCTTAAGAGCTTAGGTTACAAATGTAACTTCAAGACAGAAAATCAATGTATAATGTGTTTTGTGAGCAAGGTAACCTGAAGATGGTTTAAAAACAAACTTGAAAATATTTGCTTATGCAGCTCAGGCTTTTTTAAAGTTATTTTTAAAGGCTGAGGAATTAGACACCTGTTGTTTCGCCAACTGGTGGGGATGTTTAAAAACGACTATCTCTCTTCAGCCTGCAGCTCCGTCTGCACCTGCTGCTCCTTGAGTTATGGGCGTCTCACACTTGGTAATTTAATAAGGTTAGGTCCCATGACAGTGTGCCGCAGTTGTCCCGCAGGGAGAGGAAAAGCACGTTCATAAAGTCTCGAGAGGAAAGCATCATACGTAAAGTCTGAAAGTAACAATTTGGGACCACTCAGGCGTCATGGTTTTCTGGCTGAAAAAAAAAAAAAATTAAAGAAATGTACGTGATGAGAAAGTAGCCACAAACTGTAAAAGAAAAAAAGAAAAAGAAAACACGAGCCCTTTGTGATGTAGCAGGCACTCTCTTTGACCTTCACGTATTGAAATCAGTTTTATGTTTTTTTTGCATACACGCGTGGGGCAGGGTGTTTCTGTGTAGCCCTGGCTGTCCTGGCACTTGCTCTATAGACCAGGCTGGCCTCAAACCCAGAGATCTCTTCCTGCCTCCCAAGTGCTGGGATTAAAGCCATGCACCACCACTCCCAGGTTGAAAGCATTTTTTAAATTAAAAAAATTGACAATTTCAGATGTATACCTTTTCATCTTTTTAAAAAAAAGTTTTATTATCTCATGTAATAATTAAAAATAAATGTGTATGAGACTTGAGCTACTTCATTTACCGGTTCCATTTTCTCGGATCCCATCACTTTTAAATTGGTGACAGAAAAGTATCATCTCTTATCCAGGACAAGAAGTTAATCTACACAATCTTGTACATGTGTGTGAAACAAGCATTTTAGAATAAACCAAAAATAAAAATAAAAATAAACAAATATATATTGAGAGCCTCATTGTTCAATAGGGCAGTCATGAGCCACATGTAGCCACTAAATTAAAATCTTTAAAAAGTTAATATGAAATATACTTAAAAATTCAATTATCCCATCTCACTAGGCACATTTCACCTTCTCAGTGGCACTGGTGTGGTCCCTTAAAGAAAAAACGCAGATACAGCTCTCCATTTTCCGAGATATGCCCTCTGTGGTGCTTCCAATTCATGAAGTCATGGTTCCCTTTCCTTAAACACGTGATTACGGCATCCCAACTTAGCCACAAAAGCACAGGTTAGTGACTATAATACAAGTGCCTTTTCCTAGATAGGAGTTTGTTGACCTGAACTTGCCAACATCCCCTCCCAAGAGGCATGCCCAGGCAGGTACTTCTGAAACTAGAGCCCTCTTTGTTATGGTTGTCTTTTCAGGGAGTGGAGGCAACTACATCCTACTAATACTTCCTACTTCTGGGGTCTGCTGTGGAAAGATGTAAGTCATATATCGAGGCGATAAAGCTTATTCTGTAAACTTTTCCATTTAATTTTTGTGCTTCTTTGATGTATAGTAATGGGCTAAACTGAGATGTGGACACTTGTGCGTGGGAAGCAAAACACGTCATAGTGGGAGAGGCATAGAAATAAACAGAACCCTGAGCGCTTGAGCAACAACCCCTTCATCCTGGGGAGGTCTGTTCGCTCTTTCTTTCTTTCTTTCTTTCTTTCTTTCTTTCTTTCTTTCTTTCTTTCTTTCTTTATTTTTTAAGTAACAGCTAAAAGACCACATTGGATTTTGTTTTTGAAGTCATCAGACAGAAAAGTCAAAATCTTTTACAGTTCTCCAATAGGCTAATTGTTACTACAAAGGAAATAGATCAAGCCATAAATAATGATTAACATAAATTTGGAGGACCCAATTTTACCTTAAATTGCCTATAGAGTCTATTAAAATGCCCCAGCACCTATCTGAATTTCCTGGTTCTTTATTTAACTTTTAAAATAATATGTAACTCCTAATCACTCATCTGTTATTGCTTTGTAGATTGTGATGACCTTAATGTTTTCTTTTTGCATTATTATTTATTCACCTTATTGTTTGTATTTGTGTGTATATGCAGGGAGTAGGACATGGCCCACATGTGTTGAGCAGAGGGCAAATGTGTGATTCCATTGTCTTTCGCCATGTGCATCCCAGGGATAAAATGAAGGTCTTCAAGCTTGCTGACACACTCCTTTACCCACAAAGCCATCTCATCAGGCCCTTCGGTGATAAGTTTTTAAAATAAATTTGTAATTCATCAGTATTTTTTATAATTTTCCTAAGAATTGAATTCTTAAAATCTATTTTCATTAAATAAAAAAGTAAGACACATACAACTTGAATATTCCAGTCTGACCAAGTTTATTGATACAGGGTTTTAAGAGTGTTGTGGACCCAAGTAGATGATAAAGATGGTGCTTGGACTTGAGATTATCAATATTTTATTCATATCCCCTAGAACAGAAGATGCCTGATTTGTGTGTTATGAAAAAAACTCAAGGCTTATAAAAATTTATGGGACCCTTCAGTATAGAATGGTCTAGGTTGTTTTGATCTTCATGGTAGTGGTAAGCAGATGTGGACTGTTAGCCTTGGGTGTTCTTGAACTGACATCTGGCCAGTCTTCCCAAACACTGTGTTCTGCAGGGAAACAGAAGCAAGTTAGATGTTTATAGCAGCTCTTTAAAAAGAACGTTCTGGAGGAAATGGTGAGCCAACACTCCCAAGGCAAGTCACACCCTTACTTTAACAACCTGCTTGTCAGCCCTTGAGCCTTAACTATTGCAACATAGTTTTTTAGGGCAGTATTTGTTAAAAGTTAATGTTATTCAAGAAATTTAGGACAGTAGTGTTACATGCCAACTAAAATTAAATAGTCTCTGGTTAGTTGAATTTCTACTGTTCAATTGTAGTAGAGTTTAAAAGACAGGGTTTGTAGACAGAAGCATAAGGATTTTCTTATACACGCATATAAATATGTTGTATCTATTGCCTGAAGAGGACAGCATATTCTGGCTAATATAAATAACCTACGATTAGGAGGCAATTCTTATTTTATCTAAAGCGTATGCAGTGAAGCTGTTATTTCTTTTAGCAAATTACCAGGCAAGCCTTGCGTATTAAAGAGGGAGTAGGTGTGTACCTTCCAGACTCGATTCAGACAGACATGATGTGCTTCACAAAAGCTGTTGGATAATACAGTGAAGAGTTAGAAAAGCCAAAGTGAACTGAAAAGAAGGTGAAATCTGACTTTATTTTCCAGATGACTATCAATTTCTCTCAATGGTATTATTAGAGGCTATTCTAAATAATATATTTATAACAAGCAAAGAGGAAATATTTTTTAGTAAAAATGAGTTTATAGCAAAGATTGATTGGTGTGGCTATATGCCTTTATTTCCTTCTCTTCTCGTTCCTTCTCCCCCTTTCCTGTTTTATTTTTTATTTTTTTCTTATGCTTTTTCTAAATTTGGGACACCATAGATTTATTGAAATGTGGCTGGTATTTGGAAAGATAAAGTTTATTGGGAATACTGTAAATTTCAAATAATATTACACAGCTTTATTTTAAATATTTATTTTGAGTAGATATTGCTTTCATACCCTTTGTGTGAAACTGCTGTAAACTGGCAACTGGCAATAAACTATGAGGTGGTATTTCTCTCTCTCTCTCTCTCTCTCTCTCTCTCTCTTTCTCTCTCTCCATCTCCCTTTATCCCTTCTTTCTGTGTGTATCTCTGTCCCTCCCCCCACACCCCTATGTCTGTGGCTCATCAGTCCTTTCCTCTCTCTTTCCCTTCTTCCAGCAGGGTCTCACTCTATAGCCAGGTCTGGCTCCTCTTTCTTCAGCTTCCTAGAATTATAAATGTATGCTACTATACCAAGCTATTAAATGATTTTCATGTAAACAGGGCCACCAGACAAAGAGTGCTTAATTTCAGTACCAGCCTTGCTGTAATGATTTGATCACCAATAAGTAACTACGTTTCTTTGACCTCCAGTTTCTTGATTCTCATGATTTTTGTCCTAGTAAAAGATTTCAAAATCTGTTCAACTCTGGTGTTGTATTGCACTTAATTCTAATTTAAGCCATGTCTATCCCTCAGGGATATTGTGGAAAAGCTAAGAGAAAACATAAGGAAACACAGGTTAAACTGTATGGGATTTCCAAAAGGCACTGGAATTAATTCTGCATATATGTTTGCGTTCTCATACAACTATCTCAGGATTAGGCCATTTACTTATAATAAATAAAATACATCAATATAGAAAGGAAAATAAGGTAAAGTTGGAAAGGAATCTATTGTTGGGTGGTGGGGGCATACACCTTTAATCCCAGCACTTGGGAGGCAAAAGTAGGAGAATCTCTGTGAGTTTAAGACCAGACTGGTCTACAGAGCAAGTTCCAGGACAGCCAAGGCTACACAGAGAAACCCTGTTGTGGAAAAAGACTACTAAACAAAGAAAGGAAAACTGGAAGGAAGGAAGGAAGGAAGGAAGGAAGGAAGGAAGGAAGGAAGGAAGGAAGGAAGGAAGGAAGGAAGAAGGAAAGAAAGAAAAGAAAAAAGAAGAAAAGGAATCTATCTTCAATCAAGCAAGAGCTGAAGGCGCACGCTGGCTGTACCTTCATAGTTGATGCAGCCATTGGAGTCTTCCTGGCCTGCCAGCAACGCCTCCACCTCTTCCTCCTTCATCTTCTCACCTAGTGAAACAAAACACTCTTAGAAATAAGACCTCAGAATATTTTCAAACTCTCAACACTAGTGATCAGCCATGGGCTTTTGAAATCATGATTAAACCCTTGCCTTCGAGGGGTCAAACTTGTCCCTCTTTGTTTGTCTGGCATTTGGGAGGCTTCCAGTAAGCTGATTCTGGATGGGTGGATGAAAATAACCAGTATCTCTCATGCCCCAACTATAACTTGTGAGGAGCACAAATGTTTGTTAACTCATGGCCAATGTTTTTTGTTATTACTTCACCCCCGAACAGTCTCACTTGTCACAGAGGCCAACGGAAAGAGTCAAAGACTTTTGACGCCTATTGTTTTCATGTTTCCTTTGTAGTCTTTGCCCTGTCTACTTTGATTATGACACGACTTTCCTGCCATGATCTTCCCGGTATACAATCTCTCCAGTTTAGCCCAGTGAAATGTATTCCCTTACCCAGAGTGGCAAGGACGTGGCGGAGCTCAGCACCCATGACAGTGCCATTGCCCTCCTTGTCAAAGACACGCAGCCCCTCAACAAAGTCTTCATAGCCTCCCTGGTCCTTGTTGTTGGAGATAGCTTGCATCATGGGCAGAAACTGCTCGAACTCGATTTTCTTAGCATTCATCTCTGGAAGAAGATTGCTGTTTGCACATTAATAGTCACCATAAGATACCACCTCTGGGTCACAAACCAAATACAAATGTTCAAGAAAATCTTCCCCAAATGCAAACGCTCATAGAATCTTCACACAACTTAAATTCCAGTGGATAAACTACTAACCTGACAAAAATACAGTAACAGGCAATAGTATGAGTTCTGTAGTCGCAGTGCTAAGCTTTCTTTCCAGATCAACACAACTCTGAAGCAGTAAGCAACTTTGCTAACCACTTTTTATTTTCATTCATTGTTCGTTTTTTAAAGATAGGCTCTTACTCATCTCTGTGTGGCCTCCAACTTGCCATCGGACTTCTGAGCTTCCGATTCCACTTTAAAAGTGTTGAGATTTATAGGTGTGTACCCCCAAATGTGGCTTACTTTTCTCTCTGGAAATTATTTTGCATGTATGTGGATGGACCTGAATGTATGTACGTGTGCGGCACATTTGCTCGTGCCTGCAGAAGGTGAGTAGGGTGTTAGAGCTCGCAGAACTAGAGTTACTGGTTGTGCTTCCTGATGTGGGTGCTGGGGACCTAACCCAGGTGCTCTGAGAGGGCAGTAAATGCCTTTAACTGCAGAGTCCTTTTTCAGCCTTGGCTCAACTCTTTTAACCTCTTTGTGCACCGTATTCTCAGCTTTAAAATAGAAGTACTGTACAATGTTGCTGTGAGATCGAATGAACCCACAGAATGAAAAGCTTGTTAAAATGCTTGGGACAATTTGATTACTTAATATATTTTATAAGTACTATGCTTGCTATAGTCCACAAGTATCAGGGAAGCAATATAAAATTTTCCATAATAACATAAACATAGTAAAACATTACTGAACTATATATAGAGCCTATGCTTGAGCTTTTGTGGAGTCTTCAATTTCTTTGAATTTGAAGTGATTTTTAAAAAGAGGTTCACAAGAAAATAGTGTGTGTCAAATATTGTGTGACATCCTAACTCCTTTCTTAATTCCTGGCCAGAAAGTCTAGAACTTTCTTCAGGATATCATACAAGCAACAGTAAACAGACCCAAAAGGTTGGATGTATGTGTTTATATATTTACACACATACATAAAAATAGCAGTAAAAGGGAAAGAGTCCATGAATGTGAGAGGGAATGAGGAGAAAGCACGGAAAGGGTTGGAAGGAAGAGACGTGGGAGGAAATGGAGAAAATATTATTATATTGGCTCCACAAGGAAACGAGGGAGATGATGCAATTATATTTTAATTAAAGCTAAACTAACTCTTAAAATGTACTTTTGCCTTTGAGGGTATGAACTCTGTAAAAGGAAATGTGCTCATTTATGCCTTATCTTACTGTCTACCAAGGAATAGTTGTTCTCTAGAGGGATGTCCTTATGATTATTTATGGCTTTCTACAAAGGGTGTATGCCTTGGACTTAGCCCTGGATTTAGATACCATGCTGTGCATACTGGTCTCATCCTTCCACGCCATTTCTCTCTGGTGTGATGTCTTATCACACCTGCAGGTCCTCAATGGAAGTTAACTCATATTATTATTATTATTAAAAAATGTTAAAGCTTCCCAGTCATGAGAGGCACCATCTGGAGCAAACTGAGTTTATTGTGTGGAAGACCGTTCATGATTTTCACTGATCTTCCAGGAACTTACCTTCATTGCTAGGGTTCCCGAGAACCTTCTTGACCTCTGCATTGGTGGGATTTGTGCCCAGAGCCCGAAGGACGTCACCCACTTGACTTAAGGTGATCTTGCATTCTCCTGTTCTGTCAAACAGGAGAAATGCCTCCTTGAATTCTGCAAGAAGCACGAGACATTCAGGCCCTGGTGGGAACTGGCTTTCAATTTCCTGGAACCTTCTAATTAACCCCAGGTCCTTCAAACTCTTCTCTGCTCCACCATTTCTTCCAACCACTCAAGTTACCTCCGGCTCTCAAACCGTCACGGAAAACCCTCTGGTGTTTCTGTGGGGAACTGTTCTGAAGCAGTCTTGCTAGTTTTAAGCCACATTATTAGTAATGTGGAATTAATTTTTAATTGTGGAAATTGGAGCTCCCAGTGATAGCAATTCCTATTTCTTTCATCTGTGTGGGAAGCAAAAGTCACTTAAAATATTCTCGTGCCTTGAGAAATCTCGAGAGTCTCCAAATAGTCCTTCAATTAATTGGCAATATTAGTAAAATTTCAAGAAAGCAAATTTCCAGCTGGGGCTATTGTATGTGAGTTTAACCCAAACTTTTTTTAAGTTTGTAGAAAAATCTTTGGGGCACCAATTTTATAGGCTGTCTTTTCAACTAGCTTCCTCCAGAAATAGATTATTATTATTATTATTATTATTATTATTATTATGTTCGAAGTGTGAGGCAGGCTTATAAGTTTTACAATGCCATTTAACCACTTCAGTGTCTGACTCAAAGAGGCTCCTACTATGGTTAATAAAGAAGGGAAATATTTTTGGAACAATTATTATGATATATTCATGTAATTCTGATTTAGCCCCCAAATAATCCATATGACCAAAAAAATCTTCATAATATAAGAACATTTTTTAAAATTAATATTTAATGGCATTAACTATAGATTCCCATGCAGCTATAAGAAAATAATGCAGAAAAAAATTATTTTCTCCTTTGTCTAGTTTTCTCCAATGTAGCACTGTGCAAATGTTTTGCGTTGTTTCATGTCCCATGTTATTGAAACTGAGATATTTGCATGGATGGACTGAGCTGCTTTTGTTCACATGCACATCTGTGTGTGAATTAAGGGTGTGTCTCAAGGCACTGCCTGTTCTCCCCACAGCAGCTCGGCCAGGTACTTTATGGCCTGTAATTCTGCTTTGATCGACCTGCTTCGCCTTCACAATTATAACCATAATAATTTAGAAATATATAATGAAACGCCTGGAAAGAGGGATACAATGGATTTAGGAGCCAGTAAAGGCATTTTAAAGGAAATATCTAAACTTAACTAAGTGGAAATTTCTGGAAAACCTGGAAATACTGATGGTGACTTACAAACGTTAACCCCAACAACCCTGGAACATTTGAATGAATTCACATTGGTGAATAAACTCTCAGAACTGAAAACAATCTTTTTTAGGTTACCTCAGTCTCCAGCAAAATATGCAGTCTGGAAAGGTCCCTCTGTTACTACCCTGATGCCCTGTCTCGCGAGATCTAAGATTGCACAGAGTCCTATATACACAACTAGCTATAGGCCATGCTACCATTCTTGTTTAAATCCTATGCTCTCACCATAATCTGCCCCAATCTGGATAAATGGTGCCTGAGCCTTGTGGTTTCATGAGTCACATACTATTTTTTATCTTTCTAAAGGTCACGTGGAACTGGACTCCTCTCGCTGCTGGCTCCAGATGCCAGACACAGTGCTCTGAGGGCTCTCGGTCACCCGGCTCAGACGCTGGTGTAGAAAAGGGACTTTAATGGCGGTAATGGAATCGCCCTGACATTATCTTTTAGTAACTTAAAGGCAGAGGCCAGAGAACTAATTCTTTTAATCGTGAACTTTTAGCTCAAGGTTTAGTTCTTGTCTTCAAGGTTCTAGAACAGACTGGAGACCTCCTTCCTCATAGACTGGCTATATTAACATTTATCATAACCTCACCATGTTCCTTTGTATATGCATTGCCTGTAGTCTTTGCTTAACCTCAAGAACAGACAACAGTGCAAGGAAACTTAACAGTCTTTCCTATTTGACCTGTAAGAATATATCAGCTGATCTTCTGCCCAGAACCACACCATTTCCAAAACCTCTGATGATGGAATTATTTTCCATCTGTCGTATAATGGTGGTGTTGAACACTGAATTGTGACTGGCGACCTTTAAGATACAGACTTTAACATTTATGATTTAAAAATTAATTAATGCTTAAGTAAGCATATGTAGCTGGTGGTCATGCTAACAGACAGCATGAGTCCTAAGACTCCCAAATGCTGTAATCTTCTTTGTTTTTCTCTCCTCTCCTTCAAGCCAAATAGAATTTATGAACAACATTCTTCACTCATTAAGCAAGAACACACATTCAAGTGGTCTTGGTTTATTCTGAAAGCACAGAATTCTCACTTAGTTTAAATAGTTTACATTTGTGTTTCTGACATAAAGAAAAACAAACCCAGGCCAATGTATCAATGTTTATTCAATTCTGTGGCTAAAACCTGTTTTCAATATTGGGTGATAGGTCTCACACTCAACACTAAGTGCATTCGTCTCAGCACGGGTTTTTGAATCTTTCATTGTTTGATCCAGTGATAGTTTGGCACCATAGTAATAGTCTAGGTAAGGAATTGTAGAGGGCTGGGAGGCAGGGTTAATGATGTAGCTGCATCACCAGTTAAAGGTATACTTAAACAAATTGGAACCATCATATCCTTTAAGACAAATCCTTCATAGTATAACTTTAAACATTCTTGAGTTAAAAGTCATCTAGCCATCTAAACTGTCTACCTGAGGCCAATAACCACGATATCGATATCAGTGAGTTTGTACTACAGCAAATAACCTTTTGTTTCAAATCGATACCCAGACAGCATCAAAGCAAACATGATCCTGAAAGAGACTGAACAGTGTGAAAGCCTTAGGCAGAGAACTCTTACTAATCATCCGTAGTTATTTGTACTTTATATATTATACTATGCTATATATTATTATGGCCAATCTCCTAACATATAATATCACATAACTAAACTGATTGTGTCTCTCCTTTCTGCAAATGCATTCTACTTAGTTTATCCACATATTATGATGATTTCACCCCATAAAAAATTCTCCCTATACTTCCTAATGCAAAAATCAAGTTTGTTTGGGATATTGGACCCTGTTGAATGCAAACACAAAGGGAAAAAGTTAAAGTTTTAAGGAAGCTACCCAGGGTCTCTTCAATCCTAAAAAGTTTGAGACGCATCGATAGCATCTGTTCCTAAGAAAAACTGCCTAGCCCATTTGAACTCATACAGAATTATGACCCTATTGCTAATTCTTTGGTCATTGAGGAGGAAAGACCTATCATTTCTCCAGTTGTCTGTTTCATATTCCTTAACAAGGTGTTGGATTAGGATCCTTCTCTGTGAATCTTTTCTAGTTCACAATTCTGTTTCCATAGAAACTAGACAGGTTTGGCTGTCAGGGCAACTTTCATAATCAGTTTTGTTTTTCAGATTGAACACTCCAGGCCTATCAAATCTCTCTCTAGGCTTTGACTAGTAATTTAGTTTTCTAGAACCTATATCTTTGGTGAATATATTATCTATGATCTTTCCTAGTGCTTCAAGTTCATCTTATTTAGGACTCAGTAGCTACACGGACTTATAGTCTATTTTTTCTTTCCTTACATCTTTGGTCACTGACTATAAGCAAGGGCTTCAGTTATACAGGTTTATATTTAGAGTGTTTGAAAGCAATTTCTATTTAGAGGAACAACCCCAGTGTGGATAACTAGGCAGCACTTAGCCCATCCCAAGGGAGTTGGTTTTCTCACTTGCCATCTCTGGAAGTCTGCACATATGAACCGCTACGGCTTTTAAACTTACCCTCCTGCTGCTCCTTAGAGAACTCGATCTGTTAGAAAAAAATTAATCATAAAATATATTTTAACCGGAGAAGAGCACCCTGATATACAAGTGCATCCAGCTCATTCCCCGGGTGCTCTTCAAAGTGAGCTCCAGCAGACAGCCCAGTTTTCGGAGCCCCGGCATGGAATGGACGCGAACAGTCTAAGCCACAAAGGAGCATGCTGTGGAGTTAAGTGACATTTTAGAGACAGGCAGAGAGCTCTGCCTTCCGTAGAGAAGCTCAGATCACTTACCCGCAATCTGGTCAGCGCTGAAGGACTGCAGTGGCAAGAGGGAGGGAGAGAGAGAGAAAGAGCTTTCAAATGCATTGACAGAACGAGTGCTCTCTGCTCTGAGCGCTTAGGAAACCATGTGGGTGCTCTCAGCACAGGACGGGTGTGTGAGGGCAATTTTGAACCTATGAGCATAAAAATCTATTGCAAGAAATAATTTAAAAAATCTTTTCTCAGTATCTTAATGATGTAAAAATATTAAAAATGCTAAATCGAGCCATCCTAGAATGCCATTAGTGGTGTATATTTAGCATATGTCTGGTAAGATACATTTAAAACTGCAAATAGAACGGTGTATAAAAACCACCGTAGGTCTTTCTGCTTCATTGGCATATTTGTACTAGTGTACGAAACTGAAGAATCAGACACGGTTTGCTTCCTGTTAGCTGGGAGTTATCACTGGCGTCTACGTAGGCACACCGTTTCACTAGCTGCACTTTTCCCCTCCACATCTAGATGAATCTTACGTGAAATGGCAAAGGCAGCTGAAGCACACAGACCGCTCTGGGGAGGGAGACGCATTTCTCCCCATCCGCTGCAATAGTTGGAAGTCATTTCTTCTATCTTCATCATAGATCCCCAAAACCAGCGCTAGGTTCCCGAATCCTTGAACTAAATAGGTTCTCCCCTCCGTGCTGTTCCTTGCCCGCCTGTCCCCTCAGTAAGCTCCTGCTGCCCACTGTCTCCTTCTGTAAAGGACATACTGTTTTCTTGAAGGACCCACCATGATGGAGTTCTGGGCTGCAACACAGCGGTGGGGCTGGCGAGCAAGCTGAAGGCAGCGCCGATCCCTGAGTGGAGTCTTTCTTCTCGGTGGCTTCCTTTTATTTCTGGTCAAACTGACCTCATGTCTAGCATCGGATTTCACAGGGCAGTTGCCACTCCTCCCGGAGGAGCTCTTCAGCTTTCTTAGGGCAGAGAGAAAGAGGGACGTGCACCCTAGGGCTATTTTTAGGAACCCAGGGCCTAGAAGTGAACAGCCCTCGTGAGACCGAAGCCTGTCAGTACTTTTATGGTCTTTACCTCTGAGATGTTCTCTGCAACCTCTTCCTTCAAGACCTTTCTTTGCTCATGGAAAACTCGGGATTCTTCTAGGGCTCAGGCTTCTGCTGGGTAATTATGGACCTTGCAAATGTCTAGTCAGCAAGTCTGGAACTTCTTGGATGAAACTGGCTTGAGTTTTCAAATAGTAACTGGTATAGAAAGAACACTCTCCCAAACTCCATCCCTTATGGTAATGTTCTGAGGACTTGTGAAGACCTTGTGTGCTCTGTATATTTCCTAAGATTTCCTAGGACACACCCACATGACAACTGGTCAGCGTCCCAAATCTCCATTAGGATTATACTTTTGTAAGCAATATTCTCAAAAGAATAATCTAAGCAAGAATGGATTGGGGTTCCACTTCCTACCTCGTCTCTTTGTCTCCTGACATTAGGTTTGGGTATGTCCATTCTTCCTTGTTTTCCTTATTATATAGACTATGTTATTTTTTTATTTTCTGAAATTCTTAGCAGTCAAGAAAACTGACACATTAATTGTTTTATTTTTTTGTTTCTAAGTTCTTACTAAAACCAGTCTGTCCTGTCCAATCTGCAGACCAAGAATCAAAAAGCCCAAAGTAAGGCTCACGGAGTGCAGAATAGAACTTTAACATTTTCAAGGTGTTGGAGGGAGTAGGCCAGCAATGGGCTTCTACAGCAGCTTATCTGAGAACAGGGAAAACTGGAACGGCTGTGGGGATGATCAGCTTAGGGTGTCCAGAAACAACTACACAACTCTCTACACAACTCAAGTATCTCAAGTGGAAAAAGACGAATTGTGATTTCTGCAACCGCCCTTAAGGACGGTATCCATAGAGATCATCATGTGTGCCGCTCGCCCTCCTACTATTCCAGAATATACAGCTAAATGGATAACTCTTCTTCAAAATACATAATCTTCTGCACATATGACAATATCACAGTGATACACTTTGTTCTGTATAATTATTAGATGCTAATAGAATATTTATTAGATTCTAATTAAAATAATGATTAGATGCCTATCAAAATATTAAAAAATATATGTATCACCTTTGACCTAAAGTTCACAAGTTGTGAAAACAGTCTTACAGGATCTTGAGTCTCTTGATGAAGAATGATAATTTTGAAGTTAGTAGTACCTGGGTCAACATGTCTTCATAAACAAATTGATATTTTAAGAGGTTACTGGGGAATGATAGTTAATAGAAAAATTAAACATACTTTGAATCATTAGAAATAAAATGGGGGAGGGTATTAAAACTGAAAATTTTAATCTTTAATAATTCTGTAACTTAGAATGTCATGATTTTGGGTGTCTAAGTTAAAGTTCTATAGAACATACCTTTTAATCTTCTTTCTCAATTTTGTAATTATATTTTTGTATTTGTCCTTTAATGTTGTACTTTAATGTTGATGTAATTGTATTTATGTGTTTGTACCATTAAATTCGAGTTTGCTAGCCATTACTGAGAACCAGTATTTGACGCCAGTAACTGAATATTACATAGAAGTTGCCTTATTGCCAACAATGATAATTTTCACATTTCACCTTTTTTCAGGTGGAAAAGTGTAGCCTTGAATTATGTGGAACATGATCAAATTTTATAAAAACTTGTGGGTAAACTGGAAAATCAGCACAGAACTTGAATTTATGTTGTGAACAAGCTATCCGTAACCACTTAGACACCATCTAAAGGTTTGCTGTTACTATGAAAACAGAAGCTACAGAGTGGTAAGGAACTACTCAACTACTTCATCCCAGTTTTTTGCTATATCTTTATCATATTCCTGTAAGACTGTTTTTACAACTTGTGAACTTTAGGCCAAAGGTGATACATATATTTTTCATATTCCGATAAGCAAGCATCTAATCATTATTTTGATTAGAATCTAATAAATATTCTATTATTTTTTAACATACTGAAAATCAAAATATAAACGTAAACATATCAATTGACACAATAAAGCTTAAACTATAGCTATGAGAAAAGCAGTCCTTCTCCTGTCCACTGATAGGATGACACACTGCCTCTGGCCTCTCCTCCTTATGGTAGGAATACTATCAGCTGTTTGAGCGAATGCTTTATCTGCTCCCACAGCAATTTGGTTTGGGCCTCAGTCTGGGAGCTCATCACCCAGTGTGTTTCAAAGTTGGTTTAAATCTTTCTTGTCTGGCGAGCAGCCCACTGTTCCCTCCTCTTTTCATATTAAACATTCTTCCAGCCTTCACAAGAACTCCTCTTCGTCCAAGTACGTGTCCCTCTTTACGGCACACCTGGCTCCTTTTTTCTACTGCAAGCTCGTCAGCTTTCTTGCTTCATCTGCTGGGAAGCCCAGGCCAATGCTAAAAGGCCGTGGCTTGTTTCTGATGTGGACCTGGATGTGTTTTAACACAGCATCTCTCTCTAGAACACTGACTTTGCCTTGTACTTATGGTCTCTTCTATTCCAGTTCTATCAGGTTCCTCTCCCCTATTAAATGCTTAATAAATTTTCATTCAATTGAAGCCATTAGACCGTTAACACACTAAACTCCCTGGTGCACTCACTGTGGTCTGGCTGTGTCCCAAGTTTCTCTTTTGAGCATAAGCTTTCCCTCTAGAGTATTATATCCCCAGAAATTTTATCTCTTATTTTACAAAGCTTACATTCCGGAGAAACTACGTATATTCTCTGCATCTTCATTCCCCAGAGCACAGTAGGTACACTCATCTAAAATTCTTTACCATTTATATCTCTAGCATTTTCCTTTAAATTCCTTTATATGAATGCTTTTGGTCCAGAGTTCTAATTTGTCAACCTTCTATTTCTTTTTAAAGGCATCTATGACCTGATCCTATGTCTTCATCTCACACGTTAGTAAAAGGACACATCCCACAGGGCTGTAGCTCCCCCATTCCCGTTTGGTGTTGAGTTTAGGTAAAAAGCAGTCTGTAAGGCATCTGCTACCATGAAGAGTTTTTACTGCAGTGGTAATGGGCTGTTTTGATTTGAGAATTGTCTTTCAGGTAGTAGTCATGAAGTTTGGTTCACTGACTAAAGATAAGTCTTCTGGCATCTAGAAGGAATTGCTTTATAGGAAAAAATATTACAATGCAGTTAAAATATAGAACTGATATATTTTAAATTTTAGTGTCTCAGAAGAACAACAACTGTATTAAAGAAATGTATGGTATTGAATACTAAGGGAAATGCCCTGGAAGGAACATGGACGATGATGGTCAAAGCTCTCCGTATTTCAGGGGGATGAACAGATGCCAATGACTGGAGCTAAGAAAAGAAGATGCTGAAACCAGAGACAGTTAAGAGAACATTGTTGGATACTCTCTGCCTTCCTGCCTGGCTGAGAGATCAGAGTTAGACGTATATATGCCTTTAAGAAAAAAAATTAAACTAATTTTTCTTACAGTTTCAAAAATCACCAAAATGCCATTAGGAAGAATATTTAAAACTCTTAGAACGTTGTGCTTCACAGTAAGTCACTGAAGGCCGATAGAAAGAAATTTCTCTCCTTATTATTCTGAGCCCAACAAAACGGATTTAGGGTGCTTATTAAAGTATTATATAAACGGGAGAAACTAGAGCATTGAGGACATGGTGCCGGCCCAGGCTCTCTGAAAGAGCTATTAGAAGGTTAGATTGGATTCGTTGGTTTGAATGACACTAACCTGGGAGGGCTATGTTCAGCAG